AGGCAAGCCCCAGGCTTCGCCATGGGCGGGGTCAGGGGGCCTGAGGTGGGGCGGGGGATGCCAAGTGTGGCCTGGCCAGGCCCTTCTGTGGAGAGATGTGCCCCCGAGCCCGGAGCATGCAGGCTGGCAGGTGGAGCATGGGCATCTGTGTCCTTTTTGTCCCCACTGCCCACCACCCAGCCAGCAGCTCCCTTCCATGTGTCTGGGCCTGGGTCCTGCGGCTTAGGGCTGAGTGACACGTGAATCAGTGACAGTGACAGTGCTCCTCTCAGGGGGACTGGGAGGGGGAGGACTGGGGCAGTTGGGAAGGGAGGGACAGGAGGGGCAGGGACCAGGAGAGGGGGGGGGACCAGGAGGGGCAGCAAGGGGTGTGGAGTGGGGGGACCAGGAGGGAGGACTGGGAGGGGGAATGGGAGGAAGGAGTGGGAGGGAGAGCAGGAAGGGGGAGTGGGGGAAGAGGAGGGTGGGGGAGGGAGGGGAGTGGGAGGGCCACGGGGGTCGAAGAGGGGCGGCCTCTGAGGGGGGTGCAGCCCCCTGCAGCTGGCAATTGGGCGCATGGGTTTCTGTGGGACAGGACAGAGGCTCCAGCGTAGACGGCCTGGCCGGGAGCTGGTGACCCCGGAGGCTGCGGAGGCTCCATGGGGTGTGTGGGGCACAAAGGAAACCCCTGAGCTCCCCGTGTGGCCCCGCCCGCTGCGCCCCTCCCCACCTTTGGGAAAGTGGCGGGTGTGGACTGGCCAGTCGGGACGCCCCTGTGTCCTGCTCTGTGTCCCCTGGGGCGCTGTCCTGCTCGTGGTCCCCTTTCCCGACCCTGGCAGGATTTCCAGCCGGGCCCTCCCACGTTCCACCTGTGTCAGCCCACAGCTGGCCTGTCCCCGGTGGCAGGGCGAACCCCCGCCTTCCGCAGGGTCACCACCTCCTGCGGGACAGGTGGCCTCGGCACCCACTGCCAGGTCGGGGTGAGGGCGGACAGGCTGCCATGTGGTGTCTGACTCATCACATCCCACTCGGTGCTCTGGGGGACTGCTCTGGTGTGTGCATGTGCTGACATGTGTCCTACACGCGATGTGCATGTGTCACACATGTGTGGCCATATAGGCATGTGTTTGTGGTGCATGTTATGTGCACATGTTGACATGTGACACGTGCTGTGTGTATGTGCTGTGTCATGCATGTGTGCATCACAGTGCCTCGTGTGTGTGCCATGGCGCACATGTATGTGACATGTTTGTATTGTACTGGACATGTGTGTCAGAGCATTCGGGCAGGACACAGGGACCCCACGGGCTGTGTCTGAATTCTGCACCAGCCTGAGTCAGGTCGGGCTGAGAATCTTCTGGAACTCCTCCTCCCCACAAAAGGCTGCACGCCTGTGCATCGGCCCATCGCCAGTGGGAGAGTGTTACCCGCACCCTGTGTACACGGTGCTGCCTCCCAAACCACTCATCTCTACATGTGTGTTCTCTCGTGCTCACAGGCTTCTGTGCGTGTGTTTTCTGAAGCCGGCTCCTGTTCTGGCAGTGCCAGGGTGGCGGCGTGTACAGAGACAGGCTTCTCAGTCCCAATCTGGAGACTCAGTCTTGGGGGGCCTCAGGCCACTCCACACGGCCCCTCAGGACCTGTTCCCTCCAGAACCACCTCCTCGAACTTAGAATTTCAACATACAGACTTGGGGACACAGACATGGTCCCCAGTAGGGAACAGTGAGGGGCTCAGCGCCCCCAGGACCCGCTCAGTGAGCACTGGGCGAGGACACGCCTGGCGCCTTTGGGAGGCCCCTCCGGAGCCCTTCCCATTTGCCCCCTCCAGGCAGAACTTTCTGGAAAAGTACTGGCCCCTCTCCCGACCCCACGTGGGCGGCCTGCCAGTGGCACTGAGCGCAGCTGTAAAATTAGCAGCTTGGCTCCGGCTGTCAGGAACCAGGAGGGAAACGGGCTAGGGGCTTTGCTTTCTCGGCAGCCAGTGTGATAAAAATAAAGAAACGGCCAACCCCTAGAAAGGACACTTGATAAATTCACATCCACTTCAGAAGCCATCGCTTGAAAAGGCCACAGTGTGAGCCAGGCGGGAGGGGCAGGGCTGGGGGGCAGGGACCGCACAGGCCCTCACAGGCCCAGGGTCACCCAGGAGGGCCGAGGGGTGGGGCAGCGTCTCCTGCTGGTGGCGGGGGCGGGAGGCCTGGGCATCTGTGGGCAGCCTGTGCTGAAGGTCCCCTGTGCAGCCGCTGCCCCAGCTGAATGCTGAGTTTGGGGGGAGGTGCTGAGGGCGGCCCCCACTCCACGCATGACTCCGGGGGAGGCGGAGGTGCTCTGGGCACCCCCCCACTCCACACTGTGTCTCCCTGATGCTGGAGTGAAGGAGCTGCTCCTCCAGGATGGGGCGGGGCCACCCTGGCTTTTGTTCCCACCGAGGGGCTCCTCAGGCCTTACCCCCTGCTTCCTGCCCAGGACACTGTGCCCCCACGCCCCACTGAGGGCAGGGCAGGGTGGAGGGGGCGCCTTCCTCCGGCCCGCCCGCAGGCTTTGAATCTGTGGGACCAGGGAAGGTGGGGTGCTCTGTGTGTGGGGCTGGAACAGAGGCCCTGAGGACTGCCCAGGTGCCCAGTACCACTGCTGGGCAAAGCCACTCCCTGGGAAAGAAGGTCCTGGGGTGCAGGACCTAGCTTTGAACCCTGAGCTAGGCAGCTGTCTGCCCCGAGGGCGTACTGGGGTGAAAGCACAGGAAAATCCCGGGTGGAGAGGTGTCACGAGCACACACACACACACCCCAAAGGGGCTGCCCTGAGGGGTGGCCCGGGGCCAGCCCAGGCAGCCTTACCACTTCCCTCAGGCCTGCTGCTACCAGGGGCCCTTTGCGCAGGGAGGGGGCTGGGTCCCCAGGCCATGGGCAGCCCTCTGCAAGGAGCTCCTTCCTGTAGCCGGCTGGGGCTCTGGAGGTGGACCGTTGAGTCAGCCCCAGGTGAAGTCTCACTTCCTGAACTGCTGCTGCTCCTTTAATGCTGTGAGTTTGCGGGGTGCGGCTGAGCAGGGATGCTGCCCGCCGCCTGCCCTGGGTGGGGGGGACAGGCCTCTGTACCAGCCCTGCTCGCCCAAGGGCTGTGGGGGTGCAGGTGTGGGAATCAGGACTCCATGGAGCAGGAGACGAACCTAAGCCAGGCAGACGGGGCGTGAGGTGACATGGACCTAGGGAGGGACAAAGCTGGAGGAAATAGGAACATGGTCAGGGATGGAGGGGAACATGACATAGATAGGGATGGAGGAGGAGGTGATTAGAGACAGAATTGGGGGTGGAGGAGGAGGTGATGTGGACACAGTGGGGTGGAAGAGGTGATGTAGACAGAGCTGGAGATGGAGGAGGAGGTGATATAGGAAGTTGGGGATGGAGGAGGAGGTGATGTGGATACAGTGGGGTGGAGGAGAAGGTGATGTAGGCAGTTTGGGGATGGAGGAGAAGGTGATAGAGACAGTTGCGGATAGAGGAGGAGGTGATAGAGACAGTTGGCGATGGAGAAAGAGGTGATGTGGACAGAGTTGGGGATGGAAGAGGAGATGATATAGACAGTTGGGGATGGAGGAGGAGGTGATGAGGACACAGTGGGAGGAGAGTGGGGAGACAGGTCCTGAACGGGAAAGCTGGCCGGGAGGAGAACAGGGTGGGGTGGAAGTGCAGGCCACACCTGCATAGCCCACAGCGCTGCAGAGGGGCGATGGGGTGTCAGGGTGCTTTCTGTTGGCACACCCCAAATGTCGTGAGGAGAATGAGAGTGGCCACTCTCTCTGGAAGCCCTGTGGGGTGTGACCCGGGCCTGGCTCTGTGCTGGACTGGGCAGCGCGTGGAGACTAACCGAGACTCTGGTTTCCAGATGAGCCAAGTAGGGACACTTCAAGCTTCACTCCTGGGACCTAACTGAGAAATGGGGGTTGGGGTGCGGCCGAGTCACCAGGCTTGGGAGGGGGGCTGGGGGTGGGAGCCCCATGGAAGGAGGTGTTTAAAGTTGCTCAATGCGTGTGGCTCCGGAGCACCAGGTTTACCAGAAAAGCTGATGGACTTAGCCCTCTTGCCTCGGTCTCCCACCTTGGTCTCCAGGGACCCGACTCACTTGTGGGTTCACACGCAGCCACACACGCAGGGGACAGTGGGGGCAGCCACACAATGCCTCATCCCTTTTGGCATCTCTGCTCTGCTCTGCCTGTGTCTGAGAGATGCCAACCATGCTGGAGCACAGTGGCCCGTTTAGGGTGGATGCCAGGACCCTGGCCGAGCACAGCCCCAAACAGCTCTGCCTTACTGGACTCAACCATCAGCCCTGGGCCCCCCAGGACCCCCAGGATAGCCAGGCGTTAGCCTGTTCCTCGGGATGCTCTGATTGGACCCATCCTGGGGTGTTGGAGAGCCTGGCCTTGCCCAGAGGGACTTCCCCAGAGGTAGTGGCTCTGGCCTCCTCAGGGCCAGCCTGGCCCCTCGGCCTGACCCCACAGGGATGTGAGTGTCCTTCCAGGGGGTCCGGGTGATGCCAGCTGCCACACGCTCACCCCCTTTTCCATTTCTGCTCTTCTCACACCTCCACCTGCCTGCACAGAGGCAGGTCAGTGGCCACGCCTGGCCCTGGGTCAGTCTCCTGCAGTGGCCCGGGCACAGATGGCAGCCGCCTTCCACACCTGTAACACCCAATGTGGGGGGGGGGAGGGGGGAGGGACAGCCCAACCGTATGTCCCTACCAGTGAAATAATTACAGAATGTAAAATGGCTTCATTAAATCATTTTTTTTGAAGTGAGTCTACAAATACTCAGCTGGCTGATTCCCCAGGGCTCTGCACCCGTCTGAGATCTGCTTATGTTTCATTCATCGGGGATGGGAGAGGAGGGGCGGGAAGGACAACTATCACCGGGCGGCAGCGTTCTCAGCCGCCTGCTTCCTGAGGAGGCCTGGCTGCCCTTGTCTGGGAGGGATGGCACAGGAATGTCAGGGCACGTGGCTGACTACTGTGTCTGCCCCCCAGGTCCTCAGACTTCGGGACTACCTACAGCAAACTGACGCTGCAGCCTGGGGTCCCCACCGTCGTGGACAGCTTCTACATCTGCCCGTCCAACAAGAGGAAGGTGGGTACTGACGGGTGGACAGGGCCTCAACCTCGGGTGGGCGGGGCCTCGGGTGGGCGGGGTGGTGTCCTGGGCGGGAGGGGAGGGGCGGGGCCTCGGGTGGGCGGGGAGGGGCGGAACCAGAGCCGAGGAGGTGGCGCGCTCCATAGGCCCAGGCCGGGTGGGTTGCGGGGCTCTGATCGCTGGGCCAGGGCTGCCGCCTTTCCGTTTCGTACCGCTTTGGTCTTGTGTCTGCGCTCTTGTTTCTGGTGTGAGTCAGGCGGGGCAGAGGAGGTGCCCGGGCAGAGCTGTCCCTTGGGCGGGAACCGCAGAGAGGGGCTCGGGCTCTCAGACCCCCTTTGGGGATACACCCGCCCCCCAGCATGGGAAGTGAAGCGGGCCGGCCCCGAAGACCCCCTGGTGCAGGAACCACTTGCAAAGGGCGCTGGGTGCCTGGGACTGCGTGGTAGCCAGCTGATGGCTCTGGGACAACGTGTGTCCATGGACTGGAGGAGGCCGCGCCGTCCCCCGATGACCACCCCAGCGGCACTTCTCTGAGCATCTCTATATCCCTGACCTCGCTGAGAGCTGCAGGACAGACGTGGGTGCAGGAACAGAGCTTGCCTTCTGGGACGCAGCCACTGCAGGGGGGGGCTACTTGGGAGGGAAAGGACAGGCTGGCTGGGTGTCCCCCACGCATCTGGACTGCCCCACACGCCGCACACCTCCGCCAGCTGAGAAACCATGGCCTGCCCACGTGCAGCCTGCCCTGGCCCCCTCTGCTGTGCCCTTCGCCTTGGGGGCCCCAAGCACAGCAAACCTGTTTCCATAATAACATAACATGCGCAAATACATACCTGCAAACAGAATCACACTCACACACATGGGCACGTACACATTTGCACACGTATGTATTTTTTTTTTTGGATCACACCTGGCGATGCACAGAGATTACTCTGCCTCTGCACTCAGGAATTACTCCTGGCAGTGCTCAGGGGACCATATGGGACGCTGGGAATCGAACCCGGGTCGGCCACATGCAAGGCAAACGCCCTACCTGCTGTGCTATCGCTCCAGACCTGTACATGTATGTATGAGTGGGTGCACAAGGACACACACATGCATGTGTGCATGCACCGTGCTGTTCCGGGGGCGCTGCCCGTGCATTCATTCCTGGCAGGAAACGACCGCGTTTTGTTGAAAGTGAGCGGGACTGGGAGGCCAGAGAAAGAGTGATTGATGCAGGACAGAAAACTAATTTATTGCTCTCTAATTATGTGACAATTGGAATTCATCTGGAGGTCCTGTCCTTGGATGTCTGTTCCTGAGCGGCCTGGAACCATTCAGGACCCCGGGCAGAAGCGCCACTGCCCATCACTGCCCTCCATGGACGTCTGTCAGTCCGAGGCTGCTCCCGCCCTTGAGCATGAGCACGCGTGCCAACAGCCTGGACCCTGAGTGTTGTCACCCGCCAGTCGTCTGCTGAGCAGCTCTGTGATGAGCACATGGAGCGGGAGGAGGGCGGGGCTTGCCTGACGCCATTATGGCTGCTTGCCGGTGTGGACAAGGCAGGACCACACCGGGCAGGGCACGACCCCGGGGCCCTGTGCCAGCTACTGGGTTACGGCCCGTGTCTGGCTCCTGGCTCCTGGGTCAGAACCTGCATCTGGCTCTGGTCTCTGGGCAGGCCTCGCAGGTGCTCCCAAGCCCTGTTGGCGATGCAGACTGGGGGTCCTGTGCCAGCATCCTGTGCCAGCACTGGGCAGCCAGGTGGCAGCATCCATCCCAGCTCCAGCCCCGGGCTCCCCATCGTGAACGTCTTCCATGGAAGACCCCAGTCCCATTTGGGGCAGCCGCAGCTGGGGATGCACAGGGCTTATTCCTGGCTCAGTGCTCAGTGTGCACGGTGAGCTGCTCACCCTGTGTCCGCTGTCACATTCCTGCTTGCTATTGGTCTCGGGGCCGTACCTGGCCATGCCCCAGGTTTACTCCTGTCTCTGTGCTCAGGGGGCCTCAGGACCCCTGTGTGGTGCTGGGATGGAGCCAGGGGGCCATGCAGGGTGAATGCCCCTCGCTGTCCTGTCTCCTCCCCGCAGCGACGCCACCTGGCAACGCTTGTGTGAGGGGCTGCAGGAAGCCGCAGGGCAGTCGCTCGGGTAAGAGGACAGTGGCAGGCAAGGGGCTAGCTGTGCTGGAGGCCCCGTCACCACGTCGGACAGCAGCGCCAGAGCCCGGCACAGGCGGCCCTCGCCCTGCCCACACCGCCCAACCAGGGGACCCTGGCCAGTGTCCCTCGATCATGTTGAGCCCTGGCGCTGGCAGGAGCAGAACAGAGCAGCACGTGGTGGTGGATGTGCTGTGTGGTTGGGCCTGCGGGCGCCGAGGACAGACCCCATGGGCGTGGGTGGGAAGTGAGAGGTCCACGTCCCCTCAGGTCTGGCCTTGAGCCTCGCTAATGCTGATCTGGCTGCAGGGTCATTTTGGGTGGGGGGCTTCGGGGCTGTGCCCCCGCCACGTGACTCAGCTCATGACCCGGCCCTATTCTCCCTCTCCTGAACACCCGAGGCAGCTGTGATCGGCAGCTGTGATCACCACCCGGAGGAGTGCCCGTGTCTTTGGGGGGCCACACCCTTGTTCCCCACCATGTGGCCGAGCGCTGCTCTCTCTTCCTGGGCCTCTGCTCCCAGCACGCGGATATCCTGAAAGGTTGGTCCTGAGTGCTGGGCACGCAGCCAGGCCTCACACTGGCGGGCACGAGCGGGTGCCGGTTGGTCCTGCCCGCCTCTGGGCCCCACAAGAGTTCGGGCAACCCAGGCTCACACTGGCCCTCAGGACGACAGGAATGCGGTTGGAACATGTGTGTGTGCATGCTCAGTTTCAGTATTCAGACCAACCGCATGCCCGTGTGCAGTGAAATGAATCTCTAATGCAAACCTTGGTGCTGATGGCGTCTCCTGCCGTCCTGCCCCCCGGCCTGTGCCTGCACACCTGCCCCTGGTCAGCGTGGGCAGGGGGTTCTTCTGGAGAGCGCCAGGCCCGGGGCTGTGAGCCATGCCAGGATTGTAGAATGCCGCCCTGCCCGCGGGTAGCAAAGGCAGGAGCTATGATTACACTGCAGGGGAGACGAAAATAAAGGGGAATTCATTTTATAAGACAGGTTGCAAAGTGGTCTCTTAAGAAGCGATAAAGTGCTGCTCGGCTGGTAATTGTTACTAAATAGACTCCTAATAGTATTCACATTTTCCAGCAAAACCCATCCATTACCTGATTACAGGAGCGGAGACCCACCAGGGCCCCGGGGACACGTGTCCTTGTGTGTCCGTCTCTGAGCTCCACCTGGCCTTTGTCGTGTCTGGGCAGAGCCGCAGGCAAGTCCATCTGCCGGCCACTGTCCCCTCAGCCCTGCACCTCAGGGGCCCCAGGGCGCTCCAGGAGCCCAGCACGGGGTCTGGGGGCAGGGGTCCCCGGGGCACGCAGAGGCCATCCTTCCCATTAAGGAAAAAGCCCTTAAACCCCGAGCGTGACCTGCTCCCGATGTGTCCCAGTAGCCAAGGGCAGCTGAGGGGATCTGGCAGCGGTGTTGGTACCACAGGCCACCGCTGGCCCCTCCGGATCTGCTGCCTTAAAGGTGGACACGACCGCAGGCCCTGGGCTGGGCACACGGAGGGCGGGGACAATCCTACAGAGTGGCCAACACACTGGCTCTTCCCAACAATGCCCTTCTTCACATGCGGAAACTGAGGCCCAAGGCACAGCAGCGGCCCCCCACCTCCTGCAGGCAGGTAAGGAGGCGGGGTGGGGGGTAGGCAGGGGCCTGTGTGTGGCAGGAGTCAGGGCTGGCGCTGGCCACCTGAGAGCCCGCAGGGCCTCCGCAGCTGCATCCTTGGCTCAGGCTGGGCGGGGGAGGGGGAGAGTGGCCGAGGACTTAGTTTCAGGGTTCACTGCAAGACTGGGGGGTCAGGCCACCACCTGTGGGAGTCAGCTCCCCATGGGGTCTCAGGGCGCCCCCTCCTGGCCCCAGCATGCACCGCCCCTTGAGGCTGGGGACGCCCAGGACATGGACAGGCCCAGAGAAGTGGGGTTCTGTGCCGCCTGCGGCCCTCAGTCCCCGAGGCAGGTTCCATGGTGAGGGTCTGCGCCGTCCGCCACCCCAGTTGCAGCCCCTCGTGCAGAGGCCTGTCTTGCTGGGTGTGTCCTCACCCGCAGACTGCTCAGGGCGGGGTGAGGCTGTGCTCCCCACAGGCCTGGCTAGCCCAGTTGAGCCCCCCATGGCAGACACCTGAGGCCCCCAGTGCAGGCCCACTGGACCCTGCACTTGAGGGGTCCCGGAGTTGGACACGGAGGTGCCTGGCCGCTGCTCTGATGGCCCAGGGCTCCTGAGTGTGTGAGGGGCTCAGCTCCTGCTGAGCAAGTGCACACAGCGTGCACACATGCGTGTCCGAGCATGCCTGGCCCCTCTGCCCCAGCTGGGTGCCCTTACCTGCAGGAACCCAGCTCCCCCTGCGGCCCCACAGGAACCCAGCCCGGCTCCCTTAGCCCTCAGGCCACTGCATCTGGGCAGAAGTGTTTTCCGCCCAGTTATCAAACCCAAGACATTAGAACGCAAGCACGGAGCAACTTGGCTGTTCCAGGGACATGCTTTATGCTCGTAACTTAAAGAGCTTATTTTAAAAACTGACTGTAAAACCACTTAATTACTCGGCTTTAAAACCAGCCGTGTGGAAATCATGGTCCCGTGATGTACATTTTGGAGGTGATTCCTGCCCCAGAGAATCCCACCCTGAACATCCTCTTCGGGCTCTCCCTGCAGGGGGCCTGTCCCTCAGCAGCCGCCCTGGTCCCCAGGGACCCCGGCAGGCCAGTGTCAGCCCCACACACAGGCTGCAGTGCTCAGGGAGCCTGGTTCCTGGCTGCATTGTGTCAGGAACGTTGTGTTGCATTGTGTGGCATTGTCACCTGCCTGCGGTCTCTCCATTCCTCCATCCCTGTGTGCCCGTGTACTGCCCCCTCCGCACCTGGGC